GATTTTTATCTTGTGGCGGTTATGGTTGGTGTAACCGGTTTGACAGGTTTTGGTTATTTTCGGAAGATGATGTCATATGTATCCCGGGGTACTATGATGTCATAGTTGTTTTGATTGGTTGACCGGAATTAGAAAGACGCTCATTGGCTGTTTTGTTTGACGAAGCATCCTGGTTGGTTGCCATATTTTTTATAGTTTGAACGGCATAAAAGCCTGCTCACTGCCTTCCCGCATACTAATTTGCATTTCCTGCATACTAATTAAGTGTCTTCCTCCATATATAATGAAGTGGATAAGTTTACTAATGAGCGTCACTCTACTACAATAGGAACAATAGGCTTGCCTAGACTTGCCCGGGCTCTTTTAACCCTAATTGGATAGTAAACAATCTATTATGTGTTTAACATAAAAGCACACTTTCCCTTCAGTATTTCCTTCTTGCAATTGCTTTGCTAAGGAAAAAAGTATTACTAGCACCAGTATTTTTTAAAACATTGCTCGGAACATGCGAAACAGTCGAATCGAGCGCTACACCGCTTCTGACAGTAGATGAACTGGAAAAAGTCCAACGTCAAAGGGTAGCTAGCCTTATCCGGCCATGTGTTCCAACTGACTTACGCGGCTACGGTTGACAAACTCATTCAAGAAGAAAAGCTGAATCGCTGCCACGGTTGTGCTATTCAACATCCAAGTCAAAACCAACATTCTTGCCTGATGATGGATAATGATGACGCATGGATGTATTACCATGATAAAGTGGTGGAACAAATTGACCTCAAAGTTACCGTAAAAACGGCTGAAAGTGTGTGCACTGCGCTTGGCTTCAACTTAGCCAAATCGTGTGAAGCGTACGTGACCGAGCTGCCGAAATATCCTTGGACCAGCATGTACCTTGCCTTGAACTTGAACTTTATTTTTATTTAAACACGGTTAATCTATCAGATAAAATAATAATAATAAAAAATTACAATCTACTTTAATCTTTATAAACATGATCTAAAAATTTAAATAGTAAAGATAGAGAAAATAAAGAAATTCTGCTTTACATAGATGCCGTGTGCGTTTTATCGATTCAGTCAAAGAAATCGCGACAACCATTTCGAAAAGATTTAAGTGATTTTGCTTGCCGCAATTCAGGGGACAAGCTGTTCCAGATAACCGCACCATTATAGCTAAAGCTATTTTTCAAGAAATTGGTGCGGGGCAATGGAACAGCTAGTTTGTTTTCAGAGTTCCTT